GTGACAAACGCACGAACACCCTCCCCAATCACCTATCACGGCCGTGCCCCGCCCAGGTCTCATCCCCCTCGGGCTTTGTCAGCAGCAGGTCGAGGCTGGCTACCAGGTCGAGAACGTCGTCGGGGGAACGAACGAGCGACAGCCGATAGTACAGCCTGTCGGCAACGCTCCGGCCAAACCTGCTCCGAGAAAACGCCCGCCTGATCTCAAGCTGCACCTGATCTGTGATTGATGGGTCCGCCACCCGCGTTCGTGTCGATGTGGCGCGGCGTATGTTCATGCCGCAAAGCGAGCAAGGCGGGCGCGTCACGGAGATGAAAGCGAAAGTCTAGAGAGGATCACGAGCGAGACTAGTGAGTGACTTCGATGCCGGCAGCGAACGTAACACGACATCATCTGTACGCATACTTAACATCATGCAACCGTTTATGTCACAGGTTGCGACGCCCCTAGCCACATGCGCCACGATTTGCAACTTAACTTACGAGCAAGCGTTGCCAAGCAAGCCGACAGAGTGCCATTGAGAGGTTGACGACGCGATGGGAGCTGTGGGGTTCCTGGCAACCCCTTTCAACGCTTGTTTTCTCCCTCTGCGGTTCATTGTGTTCGCCCCGAGCATACTTCTGGCACGCTCAAGAGACCAAAACAACCAGTAGCCTACACGTTTTTTTTTTTCTACAAAAACGTGCTGGTGGAACTTTTTTGGGTTACCGTTAGGGTCCACGTGACCCTTGCCCCTCTATTTCCTATACACGCTTTATCTCCTCGCGTATCGGCAGTCCAAAACCACAATGGTCAACGGTAGCCTCTTCATGGTGGGCCGTTGGGTGTTCGCTCTGTCTCACATAGGCCCTTGTCCTCGGCATTCGCTATGGCCTCCAGCTGATCCGCGATGACGGTGGAAAGGAGTCGGTACTGCACGGGGTCGGGCGGCGGCCCGAGAGGCTCCTCGGGCACGTCCTGCCAAGCGAGACCAGCCAAAATCGAACACAAAACTCTTCAAGATGGACGGGGCTGTCGATAGGTGATAACGCGTTTTCTCGTTGAAGGAACACTGCTGCCAGCAGCAAGTAAAGTAGTAAAAGTCACCAGCGTAGTTGTGGCAACAGCGTACAGCAGGGGAGACAGGCAAAAGTAGGCCTTGTCGCGCGAGAGAGAATGACCAACAAACTACTTGTCGGTAATTCAAAACGAGTAGGGTCGCTAATGCCTTTATCAGGTACCAGGTAAGTGCTACTACTGGAATATCCACCGAGATATCCATGTTATTGTGTCGTTTCGATATTCCTCTCGAGTTGGCCTATCAATTTGGCGCCGACCCTACGACAGCAGTGGCGCCCTGTTTCCGTCGGCACACTGCCGCCTGCACTGGCTAGTGCATCGCAGCGCTGACTCTCTTTGCTGTCAATGCGGTGGTTGGGGCTAAGGTAGCAGAGGTCGCGACCTCGCAAGTTCGAGCTGGTCACGGGCACCCAAGAAACGAGCATCAAGGCAGGATGCGATGATCACGCACCTACCTTTTGCGCAAGATGAGTTGGGGCGACGTGAAAAACGTACATGTAGGGCCCACTGCAGCAATACAGAAGACATAATACAATGCCGGCCCGCACTCAAACGTCCGATTTTGAGCGAGGCTCCGTTCTTATTACCTGCCCCAGCCCAAGCCAGTTCATATTTGCCAAGTTCTTATTTCGTTGTCCCTTTCTTCTCCAGGAATGAGGATTCTTGTTCTTGTTTCAACACCGATTGCCCAATTGGCGTGCGTATGACGACGTACTTAGGCGGCTGTCAACCATAAGGAACACAGCTGTTGGTGTTTGGTACAAGAAAACACCAAGGCATGGAGCAGCAACTACTGTCAACCTTCTTCGTGCACACTTCGGACGCTGGTCCTGCGTACCCTTCCCGATCTACTAAAAAACGCTCTCAAGCAAAACCCAGGAGCCTACAGTCGCATCCGAATTTCCGCTGTACTCGTCTAAGGGCAACTTCATCTTGCGCGTACTCCTCCAGCTGAACACAGTAGTCGTACAGGTGGCGAGTGTTCTTCTGAGATTGTTGAGCGATCAACCCTCCAAACCACCCCATCCCCAGCCCTACGAGCACTCCACGTCGCAAAAACAATCTGTCAAGAACGACTGGTTTAGCTTCTTGAATGCGAAAGCCTGCCGGGATCTCCATTATTCCCTGCATCTCGTCCTCCGGGTCTTGTGGGTCCATGCTGTCGTCGTCGTCGTTCAGAAGAGCTAGCTCGTCGGTCTGCGGTTGAGTCGTGTCTACGAACGAGGCACCGGGAAACACGACAAGAAGCTAGGGTGTTACGTCGCCACATCTCAACATGAAGCTATCACCATTCGTTGGTAGTCGTGGGCGGAAACAGCACATCAGCAAAACACAAGCAAACATCAATATGAAGGACATCGTCATCAACAAAGGGCAGCAAGAGGAAAGATAAAAGAGTGGGTCTCGTGCAAAACAAACTTACCGCCGTCGTCTTCATCGCTGAAGTCAGCGCCCTCCACGACCGTCTCACGCCCTCCATCGCCCTCCTCCCCCCGCCCTTCAGGCTCAACGCCGCCGTTCTCCGAACCTTGTTCGTCCTCGCCACTGTCTTCATCGCTTGCCAAGGTGTATGGCTTGTCCAGACTCTCCAAGGTGGTTCGATCATCGCCTGAGCCGTCCACGGTCATGGCCATCCCGCACGTTTCGAACAGGCGGTATCGGAACGTCTATTGGCTGTTGAGTCTTGCCATGGCCCCTCCCATCCACTGAGTGATCAGTACACGCCGATCAGAAGCTGTCAGCGACGCGGTTTCCCACCTGTCGAGGTTGTCCGACTGCTCGAGCCATGTGTCCATCTGAGAAATCACCCGGCGCCTGCATCAGCTGGCTGCACCTCTTCCGTGCACTCCGAAGGGCCATACCAGGCGAGAGTGTTGCATTGCTTCGCTGTCCATGATGAGAATAGACCTCGCCTTGGGGAGCTCACCCCGCCCGCGCATCAGGCCTTCGCGGTGTAGGACCTCTTCGCCCACTCCATGCAGAACGTTTGGTCGGCCCACACATTCTCCTGGAAAAACACGTCCACGTCCTCGTCGTACGCGGCTTTCTCCACGGGCGAGATCCGCTCTCCCGTGCCTCGGAAAATCACCGAAATTCACATGGTCTTTTCCCCCGGACCAAAGGTGACTTGCATGGCACACTGCCTTTGCTCTAGGCCAGGAAAGGGCTGCGAGATTACTACCGGCAACGCACCTCTCTTGTCCCAGGTGTTGATCAGCCCGTTTACGAATGCCAAATGTCAATACCCCATGAGGTAAGGGATTGCACAGGGACATGATTCCCCTGCACGGCAGGCAGCTCGTGGTACGCTGCACGTTGCGTGGCACGCCGCACGTTTCGGGGGCACCCAGGGGTACGACGTGTACAGTGCATGCCCTCCCCCCCCTCAGACAAAAATACAATTTTTAGGTATGTAGGTGCCACCCTAAACAACCTACCCCCCTCCCAAAATGCAATACTACTGGGATCACCCCCCCTCTTCCCCTCCCTCCCCCTACGAATATTCATATCTGGTAGCCGCCGCATTGCTCTCGTTCTTATCTGTAGCATGAGTGGTGCACCTCAGGTGTGTGTTTTTGTTGTCAACAGGACGTGCAGTCTGAGCACGTGTTCTTATCGGCAAATTCTAAAGTTTGGGATTTTTTGAGCCTCGAAATCGTAAGCGCCGTATTCAAAAGTGCGGGCCGGCACTGTACTGCTGTGATAGCCTTTGGGAGAGCGTCTGCTGTGCATGTCATCAAGCTTGCGTAGGCTGGCCAGGTTGTGTACCTTCATACCGCTTGTTGCGGACACCTACATGCATATGGTGCGTCGTGCATGGTTCACAGGTTCAGCACACATTCTCCTACAGGTTCAGCACACATTCTCCTACGAGCTGCAGCATTATTGGAGTGGCACACACGTCCATCTAATCCTTCTACACCTTCAGCGCAGTGCGCAGATATCAGGTACGGCTGTGTCTGATGCCACTCTCCGGCTACTGCGCTGAGAGTCAGCGCGTACCATAGGCTACGCAAGATACCACCCCCCTGGACAGATGTTGAAAGAAACCCCGCTTGCTCCACAGCACACAGAGTGGCGGTGCCGAAAATTGCGGCGTTGGGCACTGCTATCTCGCCGAGGGTTCTCCGAACATGCGTCGTTCGACAAATATATCCTCTTCCTTGTGGAGTACTCGAGCCTTTCGAATCGTTCTAGGGGGTGTGGTATTTTAGGTATTGCTGTATTCGCATCGTGCGCGCGTACACACACCAACACCGACTTGTATATAACCCAACAGGAAAATCCTCAGCGAACGAATACCCGGTGGACAACCATGCTATTGCGGGAACCAGTGCGGCACGGTGGCGGTCGAGCAGTACTGCAGAATGGTGGCTTGCGGTTTGGACGGCGGAGAGCACACGGCAATTTGAATTTTACGAATACCTGGTAAAGCTACAGGGGAAGGAAGAACGTGAGACTGCCGCACCTGGTCCGATGCAGGGTTGTGCTCTCTCCCGACGAAGATTGCAATCAGAATTCCGACCGATACCGCATAGGGCAAGCACCCCTCGGTTGAGCTCATCGCTGGGACGAGAGAGCAACGCGTGCAACGACGCGGAGAGCTTGCTCGAAGCACTAGCGTGTGTCCGGTGTCACCAGCACACACAACTGGAGCAGATATTAGGTGGGTGTGTGGCTACAATCTTGGTTGCGTGCCCCCCCGTCGAGTTCTTCATCCGTTGCAATCAATCTCACGCAAGACGTCACCAGGTCCGCACAAAGGTCGAGCGAAGCCAGCAGGGGGCCACACACACAAGCAACACGGGGTTAAGAAACAGAGGCTTTAACCAGCAGCAGGTTCAATAGCTGCTGCACACGACGGAGGGGGGGGCGGGGATAGCAAAAGTGTACTTCGCGGTTTCGGGCGCTTGCTGTTGTGCTGTTCCGACTAGACCATGGCTGCGTGGAGGCATGCCCTCGCGGCCGGAAGCATCGTGATGCTTGTCTCGGCAGCGGCGGCAGCTCGGCCAACAGTAGGAGGGCCTGGTCGGAATAGGGCCGGTGGCGGGAAGCCCGAGTTTGTAGAGCCGTGGGGAGATGCTGGCGGACGCGTGCTTCGGTCCGGTGAGAGGCGGTCGTGACATGACGGTTGAGAGCTGTTTCAGGATTTTCTCAAAGATGGGATATCCGTTGTGAGATGACGGAGAGGGAGAGAGAATCAAACCTGAGAGGTGCAGTGAGAGTAATGGAGCTGGTACCCCCAAAAAGCGATGCCCGAAAAGTAGGGTTCTTACGACTAACGGAGCAGACTTTGTGCTACTGCCCGAGCTAACGTCGGGTTGCAGTAGCACGCATCCCTCGTCCTCTCTACCATTTTCTCTTTGATCCGTCCCCGAAAAGTGTGCGACTCTACTACTGCTGTAGATGCGCATTTTTCGTCTTACAAGTACTCGGTGTGCAGCAGTATAGTATGTTTGCGTTAGTTTTTGAACACATGTGTGGATATACTATTTAAAGTACATCACGTGAAAGACGAAAAAACACAAAACACAAGGGCAGGAGTATCCACCCCGCCAAAAACCCTCCGCCATCTGCTGTGTTGGTTTGGTCGTTCCTTGTTTATTTCTGGGGGACCGCAGTGCTACTAACTATCGTTGTCCGCCTTCCGAAAAGCAGCCGTTGCCAGGGAGTGCACTACAGCAGTTATGCGAAGCACATGTGTACAGAGTTGTCAATCACCTTCCCCGTCCCTCCCGCGCCATTTCAAAATTCAATTTGACTACAGCAGTAGTAGAGAGACCTGGTACACTTTTCCGTTTTCCGTTTTCGATTTTCAAAACAAAACAAAGAAGTCAACCTCGTGTGGATGTGGTTGACCTTTCCAATGGGTCGTCGGTGGCTCCTGCGGAAATGAAAACCCTTCTCCGAAACAGGTCTGCGGCGGCACCCCATGAAATGCCCCATCGTAGTACATAAATGTGGCAGACGAACGCAGCACCGCCGTCACACTACGGAGGCTACCTCGGAGTTAAAAAATATTACCATATTATACTGTTGCCGAGAGAGTGGGCTTCTGAGAACCCAGGTCGTCAGCAGCCTTTTGGCGAGGTCCGACACCAGAAAACATAGTTGGAGGTGGGCGCCCGCGGGCAGTTTCAGAAAGCGTTCCTCCGTCCCCATTTCTTGACCGTTTTGGTCAGGGCGGTGGATGATTGCAACAAGGAGGCACGCAGAGCACACACAGCACACGCGACTGGAACAGCAGTTTTATTATAGCATTCAAATTCTTGCGTGAGAAGACTGCAGCGCATCCTACAGCAGTAGTTTTCTTCCGGAAGAATCCAGAACAAGTCCCCAAGCTTCGTGCGTTCCACATGCAACAAAGGGGCCTGGCGGCGGCCTGGCGGACGGACCAATCACCGCTAACGGTTGGTTATTTATTGAACGGTTCCGCACCACACTTGCACACAGTAGTGAGCAGCTGCTGTGCCCGTACCCGTACACACAGCTGTGCAATATGTATCGCGTAGCGCTCGAGTACCACATACGTTGCCACGGTGTACGCATGGGGCGGACATCCGATAGGCCGAGGCAGAGCACGCTTCGAGCAGCATGAAAACCACAATCAATCAAATCTGTCGATAAACCCTTCCGGCCTTGCTTCTCCTACCGCACCGTTTGGTATGGAGTGTATTCTTCAAGCACCTGGGAACAGAGGGACCGCTTGTCCACTCGCCGCAGATGATGTGCATGGCCTCCGCCAGCAACAAGTTGTTCAAATACGAGCAGAGCACACACGCACTCCCCTCCCCCTCGCCGGAAGAGAGCCTATTTACGTTGCTTGTGAGCCCTCTCCAAGATTGACGTCTTCCCATTTTCGAGCTGTCGATGCCAGTCAATTCAAGACACACACGCCCACACACACACAAGCTNGATTGCTGTACCCTTCTCGCGATAAAAATACCTCAGACATGAACCGCAGGAGGGGGTCCAACCCCCCCCTCCTATGTGACCCCGGTTGGGTCGTCTAGCTAGTAGAAGTGGAGGATAGGGGCCAGAGGGGCAGACGACAGAGTCCAATGATGGGAGAAGAACAAAACAACAAGGGAATCGCAGCATAAACTGGAGCTCATTGAGCATGGGAGCGGAGAGTTTTTCGGAACGATACAAGTCCACTGCAAGACGATGACGATGCTATGCAAGCACTCGGACAGATGCCGCAGCAGGATGCAGCAGGCAGTACTGCTGTACTGAGCCCTCTCTTATTTTCGAGTAATTTGCAGGCGGAACCTGGACCCGGTACAATATCCGCGCCCTATGCCCCCGCAGGGGGAGCACGATGTCTATACTAAAAAGAAACATTGCTGAGGATGTGTCTTTCGACAGAATCAAGATCAGAAATCGAAATCAAAAATCAGTCTAAGTCCTGGAAGAGCCAACGAACATCTGCTGTGATTGGATGGAATAACTTTCCACCTGTCCGTCGGAAGCATTTGGATGGAGACCGCACGAAATCTTCCGATGCTTAAACTCGGAACTCAAATAAATGCAAAAACATTAACATCGATGTCGACTTGTGCGAACAGCGCACGTGGCGGGCTATTGGGTGTGTAGGGGCCGGGTTTTTGTGCCGATTTGACACATCGAGGACCACGCCTTGGCATCTTGGCATGTGGAGGACACCCACCACTCACGCGCGAGCGGCAGTAAGCAGAGGAGACGATGTCACAGCCTGGGGCAAACGGTGACGGGCGGTACTACAACGCGTAGGTGTACCAGCTCCTCCGCTCGCGGCGCACGAAATTATCCCGGGTCTGAGGGGGATCGCCTTCGTCCATGAGCACCATTATCATCAGCAGCTCCAGGAGCTGTCTCATGCGCTTCTTTGTCTTTCCTCGCAGCCATGAGCGGCGGCTGGCAGGAGCGCGAGCCATTCTTTTGGGATGCGGCGCGACGCTGCGGACGCCGTTTCACGGAACTGACGGGCTGTTCGCCGCTTGAAGTGGGCGCTTCACCGTGTTTCTCAATTTCGATTTTGATTTTGGTGGTTTCTCGATAAGACACCGCGGGCGAATTTGGGCGACTCTTCAGGACTTCAACTGATTTTTGATTTCGATTTCTGATGTTGATTCTGTCGATAAGACACATCCTGAACGTATGCATCCAACGCATTTACTTTGTACAATCACAGCGAAGGCTTAGTACCCGTTCGGGATATTGCCCCAATCGTTGTTTATCCCCTCTCAAATACGAAGTACTAAATATTTTTTGTTCAGTCGGCTTCAATAGCGGTCGGTGTGTACAAAACACATCGACGCTAGGTGCAAGCCCAAAATAGCGCTCTAATATTTTACGTCCGAGAAAAAGCATTGGCTTGGCCTTTGCCCCATACTAAGATCCAGGCATCCAACCTCATATTCGCCAGCCGTTGATTTTTTTTCAGATTTTCCAGCGAGAAATGGGTCCGTGTGACCTGGTAGCCCTTGTGTTGTGAAAACCGAAGTGGGAGTGCTGTGAAGCTACACGATATGCTGCGCGATCTACAAGCCCCAGAAAGCTGCTTGTTTTTTTGTCATCAGTAAGGACTCACGCTTCGCTACTGCACCACGCGCTTGCCGTACGAATTAAAAAAAAACTTCAGGGTGGGGGGGGTCGAGGTCCCCGGCTGATAGCAGCGTGCCCGCGGGACTGTTCCTCCGCGCGATGACGTCACTCCCTGGTCACTACGAAGACGACCACGAGGCTCTGGAGGCCCACCTCAGAGAGGAGCACGCCATCTTCGCCGCATCGGAAACCCCGGACGACGCTAGCGCCGGCGACGGCGGCGGCCGGCGGCGGGCGTATCTGTGCTGCACGGACTACCGCGACGGGCCTGCCCTCAAGTCGGCGCTCGAGGCCGCCGCGGGCGGCAAGAGGTTCGTCCGCACCGCCCTCAACAGCAACTCGCTGGGCGGCTACTGCGCCGTGGCGCACATCTCGTCGTCGGTCGCGGCGGAGGCGGCGACGGCAGCGGCAGAGACCGTGCGGTGTTCCCCGGTGACCCACGCCTCGAAGGAGCCGCTGTCGCTCCTAGCGCCGGCAACGGCCACGGAATCGTCTTCTTCTCACGGCGGCGGCGGCAGCGGGAAGACCCCGCTTTTCGGGTTGAGGTTTGGGCCGGGCGTGCAGGAGGGGGACAGCCGCGGCTTGGTGATAACCATGTCCCCCGGCAGCCTCCCCATGGACGACGCGGCAGAGGACGTGGTGCCGACAGGAAACACCCGCGGGGGCAGCGGCGGCGGCGAAGGAGGGGCCGGCAGAATGCGGCGGAACCTCTCATCCCGGCAACAGTCCTCTTCTTTGGCCCCGCTGGAGAGAACGTGGAGGGACTTCTGGGGCGGCGCTCGCGGGAGCGACGGCGCCCGGGCGCTGGCGGAGGCTGTCCCTTGGACCAGCCCTCCCGCCGGCGGCGGCGGCGGCGGTGGTACGCGTAGGAGGAGCTTGCTTGCCGGAGATGGGACCAGCGATGCCTCGGAGCCGAGCAGCGGCGTTAGAGTCAGCCGTGCGAGGGAGTTCCATGGGGGGAAGGCGGCGGGCTACGGGGCCGCGCTCGCGCACCTCGGGGAGAAGATGACGAAGCGTGGTGAGGAGGAGGAGGGAGGAGTTGGAGAGACCCTGGCAGGAGTGTGCGGGCTGGGGAGCAACCTGGAGTTCGTGCACGGCGGCAATGACTTGCTGTACCTGAGGTGTGACACCGGGGGGCGTATTAATGTTTTGCATCCCTTAGTTGTTAGACCAAGGCAGGGGTCGGGTGTGATGCATCCGATAGTTGGGATTGTTGGATTGGGGTTCCTTCCTCCGAGGCGTTTTTCACCGGGAATAGGTAGGACTTGTCCTCTCTCTCGTCCTCGTAGGAGGTGCTCGGCGCACAGGCTCTTGATCGGGAACGTCTTCGTGTCCGTGGGCAGCGCATCGAGTTAGAGTTAGAGTTAGAGTTTGAGTTTGAGTTAGAGTTAGAGTTAGAGTTAGAGTTAGAGTTAGAGTTAGAGTTAGAGTTAGAGTTGGAGTTGGAGTTGGAGTTGGAGTTAGAGTTAGAGTTAGGGTAATGTTTTGTGTCGAATAACCGATGATGGACTGCCGCCGAGCACCAGCCACATCGATGCCTGTCCCTCCCCACCATGGAGAAACTGGGGATTATTCTGTAGTATACTACGCGGGTTAAGCGTGTGTTGCAGTATGATGTCAAAAAAGGCGCGTTGACAGTTTGGCATATGTTCCGGCTGCCACGGCGCAGCCATGCTTCTGAGAATTTTCCGCACAGATGACCTCATGCGTTCTTCTTCGAAGCTTGTTATTTTTTATTGTCCGGTCCGGGCTGTATCTCGTACATCATCACCGACCACAGCGACCCTCGCACCCCCCCCACCGCGCCAAATCCAGGGGCATCGACCACCCGGAACACGACGAGGAAACCTCTGCGGCGTGCTTTATCGCCCTGGTCGGCTTCCTCTCCGCACAGGTATATACTGTGGTGTACAGATAGTTGGTCCCCGCGCCAACCCTCACGTGACGGAGTTTATCTGGCTTTTGTTCCTTGCCGCCTCCTCGATAACCGGCTCTTGAAGACAACGCCCCCCCCCGTGGCATGTCGCTCCGTCCCGGCATCGTAGGGATGCGAGGTCAGCGACGACGGCATGCGTTTACATGAATACCCTCCCCCTCCCACCCCCCCGGTGTTTACCATCGGGGTTGGGTTTTCGTCGCTTGGCAACGACGTTGTCAAACAAGCCGCCCCCCCCGGTGTTTGCCATCGGGATTGGGTTTCGTCGCTTGGCAACGACGTTGTAAAACAAGCCAATTCACTTCGTGAACTCGGCAACCAGG